GATTCATTGTTTTTTCGGAGCCAAAAAGGACCAGTGTAAATTCATCAGGCGATTCGGTGAAGATCTAAAACACGAAATTCAAAACTTTCTTTTTAAAGCTAGCATAATATTCAGTGCTCTGACTGGCTCTCTTTTTATCATAGCATATATTCACATCATAAAAGCTGCTTCCATCGCTGTTATTACCAAATTCATCGCATCCTGCCAGTGATGGTGAACCTGTTGTTCGGCTTTGTGCTTGTGTGTGTGTGTGTTTTTGTTGTTCTTTCAGGGGGAAAACTAAATTCTCCCATCACTGCTTATATATTCTTCAAGCAAGCTTGTTGATGTTACTTCCATATTCCCCAACAACAACCCTGGAACATCGCCGAAATCGCCAAAAAAGTTTCCAGGTGATAAAAAAACTGCCGACGCCAACACTGCAATCTTCGTGGGTGGGAATCTGTACGACTTAACAGACCCAAAAATTAATGTTTATTTGATTATTTTTAATTCATTTTTCTTCCAAAAATTGTTATATATATTAAAATATATATATACATATATATATTCGTCAAAACAAATAGCTCTATTACTACAAGTCAGCAAAATGCCATGTGGTTTTCGGCCTGGGCATAATTCTTTGTCTCATCGCTGCTTTCCTTCGCACCGTTAAGGCAGCTCATAACTTAACAAAACATTCAAAAGTTCCGGCTCATTCCGACCGACTGCCGCTTCACAGCGGCGCATATGTACGCTTGCAGTGCAGCCAGTAACCTTTTCTATGCGTTCTGTGCTCTGTAACAGCATTACAAAACGCATATTGCCACGGGGTTGTCGGTGCGTGTGTCCCACATTTTGTCCCGCACTTTCAACTCGAGAACCACAAAAGCTAGGCGGCTGAAATTTTGGTATAGTGCTCTATTTTGTCCCGCACTTTCAACTCGGGAACCACAGAAGCTAGGCGGCTGAAATTTTGGTATAGTGTTCCCCGCCAGCGGGTGACGCGGCAAATTTAAATTCAGCCC